AAAAAATGAAACATACACACACAAAACCCTTGTACACTCATGCATCACTTAATGACATGATTAGAGAAATCTGTTATTAGGTCAGTTTGTCATTGTGTGAACATTATACGGTACACTTACACAAACCTAAAAAGTCTAGGCTATGCTGCATGTATGTATAGTCTATTGCTTCTAAAGCTGGGATGAACAAAACCATATAACATTAAAACAGACAAACAGGCGTGGTGGTGCATACCTATACTTACAGCATTTGGGAGGCAGAGGCAGGGGGATGCAAAGAGCTGGGCCAACCTGGGCTACATAGTCTGTTAATAGCTGTGGGGTTTTGTTTGTTTTTTAAATTGGGGAATGAAAATGCTCTCACATGGATTGTATGGATTGCTGCATAGTGAAAACCATTGAATTGTACCAGCTAAGTGAGTCATCATATGATATGAGTTACAGTGGAATAAAGCTAGAAGTGTAGAGTAAAGGGAGAAGGAAGAGGTGGAGTCAGCATCCCGGCAGCAGCTGCTTCCGCTTCCTGGAGCCCTGTGTCTCCGTGTGTGGAGCTCAGGTTGCCTTCCAGGACAGGGGCTGTATCAAGATGTAGTGCAGGGTTGAATATCCAGCTCTGGCCACCCCTTCGCACAATTATGTGAGTGGCCTCCTACCTAGAGCCACAGAGGGATTACCAAATTACATCCCGGCCAACCCTTAGAATACTTAAGAGACAGTTAAATGGTGATTGTTTCAAGCCACCAAGTTTGAGAGTAATTTTTTCCTTCTTTTAAAATAATTATTATCATTTTCAATGTTTGAGTATTTTGCCTACATGTATGTCTATGTACCACGTGAATGCCTGGTGCTTATGGAGGCCAGAAGAGGATGTCAAATCCCCTGAGGCTGGTGTTATAGATGGCCATAAACCACCATGTAAGTGCTGGGAATTGAGCCTGGGTCCTCTGGAAGAGCAACCAGTGCTCTTAACTGCGGAGCCATTTTTTTTTTATATACCAGAACAGACCAAATAGTAAGTCAAATTCCTTCTTTAACACGGAGTCTTCATCTAAATACTGAAATCCAATCCCGAGAAAGACTTGGTCTTAAAAAGAGGAACCAAGATGGGGACATTCCTGGATTGTGAGGGGAAATGAGTTGAGATGAGCTGAGGACACCAGGAGTTTTAAATGGCAAGAGATGAGCCTGCCAGCTGGCCGCTTTCCTGAAGCCTTGGCAGGAGGAGCTCGACAGCCACTTGTCCAGAGGCCACCAGCTACTTAGCAGGAGTTCTAAAGGATGGAGCAGATCGTATTTCTGGTTACAAGAAGCAGCGTGGAGTAACCCCGTTCACTTGTCCCCTTGGCACCTTAAGAGGAAAGCGACCATGCAGGAAGAAGCTGAAGTGGAGCTGCAGGCTAAGAGCCTGCTCCGGAAATAGAGAGAATTTTAAAAAATCATTGTAATTGCATTACTTATCGATTTATCTATCTTGTGTGCGCATGTGTGCATGCCGTGGCACACATGATATTCAGAGGATAGCTTTCAGCAGCAGGTTCAATTCTTCCATGGGATAGAACGCAGAGCTTCGGGCTAGGAGGGGAAGCGCCTTTACCCAGAGAGTCACTTCATCAACCTGTGGAGAGGGTTTTACTTTTTATTTATTTATTTAAAGAGAAAATTTTAAGGTGGAGTCTCACTGCGTTGCCCAGGCTGGTCACGGATGAGAGAGCCTTTCATCTTAGCCTCCTGAGCATTAGGGATAAAAGACATGCACCACCACACCTGGCTTTGTGAGGGCCGCGTTTTAATGCTGTATAGCCAGGAATACATAATAATGAGCTTAATTTATTCGTCAGCATTATTTTTTGGGGTAAACATGTTACATTAGGAAACACCTATAAACAGCTTAGATGGGGCCTGTGATCTCTAAATGTTCACTTTCAAGTAAATAGATGATTCCTGGGTGGTTCTAGAAGAGATACAGTGTCCAGACTGTATATAGACCTGAGAGTTCTCACAGGAAATAACATATAAAATGGGAAAACTTAGGAGACCGGTGTTTCTTCTCTTTTCATTCACAATACCATGAGCATCCACAGAAGTGGAGGAATGGTGACGGTCCTTATTGTCCTGTGCATGTGTCCTTCTGCCCTTCCTGCTCGAGTCTCATCACCGACACAGGCTCCCAGCTCTGGCTCTGCAGGGGTTTCTCTGATGTAATTTTGTTTCTAGGTCTTGGCAATGCTATTTCATCTTTCTCTCCATGTTCAGAGATGTGCAGTATGTCACACATTTTTTTTTTCATTCTCCATTTATATCAGTGTGTTTCATTGGTCGGTTATCAAAAAATGACTAGTAGTTCAAACAGCTGTGATGTCCTGTTTCTTCCAGTTCTGTGGGTCACATGGGGGTCCCTCTGCTGGTTTCTCTTGGGCTCCTTCGTGTGGTTGCTGGTGGCTCAGACAGAGGGTTTCTGTTGGGCTGGCAGGTCCAAGATGGCCTCCGTCATGCTTCTGAGAGTTGGTCCTGGCTATTGCCTCGTACCCTGGTTCTCCTTAGGGCCTTTTTCCTAGGAGCCTACACCTGCTTCTTCCATGGTCATTTCTGGACAGCACCCTCAGGTATAAAGGCAGACATTTGTTCAGAAGCCTCCTGTTACAGTTCTAATGTCACTTTGCTTCATCTGTTGTCATGAGGCCAGTCACAGGTTCCTCACTTGGGGACAGCGGAGAGGGAGGAAGCAAGAGGAAGTGTCTGTCTAATTATTCCTTATCAAGAAAAACTCAGGAGTCAGATATCGGGGTAAGAACCTGAACGATCGGAGAAGCAACCAGTGACCTCTTCTCTCTCTCCTTTGTTGACCCAAAAGGGCCAAGAATCTTTTCTAACCCCCCACTCCTAGTTCCTGTGCCTCTCTATATGCCCTTGGTCCTCTGAAACCTCTATGGCTAATTTTGGTCAGCAAGTGGCTAGCTCTGCCCTCTAACTCAAGGTAAACTTTATTGGCAGTCTCGGGAGTGTCCGAGTGTGATCAAAATATCCCACAACAAGATGATCTTCTTGTGTGTCTTCTTTTCAAAAATTTTAAAAGTATTGATTTATTATTTATTTGTTGGTGTGTGTGGATGGTGTGTGGATGTGAGTATGGGCCTATGGATGTCACAGCGAATATGTGTGGATGTCAGAGGACAACCCCGTGGAGTGGTTCTCTCTTTCCACCTTTATATGAATTCTGGGAGGCAAGGTCATTGGGCTTACATGGTATCTTAGTTTGGGTTTCTATTGTTGTGAAGAGACGCCATGACCACAGCAACTCTTATAAGGAAAACATTTATTTGGGTGGCTCGCTTACAGTTTCAGAGGTTCAGTCCATTATCATCAGGACGGGGAGCATGGCAGCGTGCAGGCAGATGTGGTGCCGGGAGCTGAGAGTCCTACATCTTGCAGGTAACAGGAAGTCAGCTGACTGTCACACCGAGGGAAACTTAAAAGAAACCGCACGGCCCGCCCTCACAATGCCACACTTCCAACAAGGCCACACCTCCTAATAGTGACACTCCTTTTGGGGGCCATTTTCTTTCAAACCACCGCACATGGCCTGTGCTTTTGCTTTCTGAGCCATCTCACTGGCTCTCTGTCACGTCTCTTCTAATCGTGTCATCAGAGTTTCAGTCTCAAAAGCTATTTTTGCCCAAAGTCCCCATCTCCAGGTGCCATCGCTTTAGAGACATGTAAATTGGGGGTGGGGACACATGCAGTCACTCCGAAGTTATTTTAACATGGTGGTCTAAGGGTGTGGAATTGGAGAAATGTTATGAGCCAAGTTAGAAAGATAGGCCGATGCCTTGTAGAAGCCCTGACTTACCCACACTGCATTCTTTCTTTATATGTGTGCTATATTTCTTTGTGCTGCATTTGTTTTGTTTCATAAAGGCATGTTGCTTTTGTTGATGCTGCATTTGTTTGTAAAGATGTGTTACTGTTTCACCTTGCCTGCCTAAGGCACCTGATTGGTTTAATAAAAAGCTAAACGGCCAATAGCTAGGTAGTAGAGGGATAGGAGGGCTGGCCGGCAGAGAGAATAAGTAGGAGGAGAAATCTAGGAACAGGGGAGAAGAGAGAACGAGGGAGGGAGGGAGATGTCTGGGGCCAGAAGCCAGACAGCCAGCTAGACATGGAGGAAGCTGGAAAGTAGGACACACAGAATGAAAGAAAGGTAAAAAGCCCTAAGGCAAAATGTAGCTAAAGAGAAACAGATTAAAACAAGAGCTAAGATAAGACCGAGCATTCGCCAGGTGGTAGTAGTAGTAGTAGTGGTGGTGGTGGTGGCGGTGGCGGCGGCGGCGGCGGCGCACACCTATAATCCCAACACTCAGGAGGCAGAGCCAGGCAGATCTCTGTGAGTTTGAGGCCAGCCTGGTCTACAAAGCAAGTTCCAGGAAAAGCGCAAAGCTACACAGAGAAACCCTGTCTGGAAAAAATAGAAGACTGAGCATTCATAACTAATAACTAATATTAAGTATCCGTGTCATGATTTGGGAGCCAGTTGGTGACCCAAAAGAAAAAGCCTGGTACACTTCCCTTCTTTCTTTCTTTATTCCCTTGGGGGTGTGAGTGTGGCTGGGTGCTAGGAACCGAGCCCAGGGCATGGTAAACACTATACCGCTGAGCCAGACCCCCAGCGCTGCCACTACTTTTCAAGGTGGCTAACTGGAAGGCAGCCAATGAATGGTAGATGTGAGATTGTGTTCCCAGTTTTTGTTTAAATACCAGGAGAAAAGGCATCTTGTTCATTTCCTGACACAGATCGTCTCTTGGAATTGACGTTCGTAGCCGCATATGACAGCTACATCTGTCTGTCTGACAGCTCTTCTGTGGTGCTTCCCAGAAGCCTCCGATATACTTCCCGGAAGCCTCCGATATACCTCCTGGAAGCCTATGTTGTCCGATTTCAGATGAGCTATTTTCCCTCTATTTACTTTGGCTTTTCTTTTCCTTGTTTTTTTTTTTCCTCCCAGACTGATGAGTCCGGAAACCACACTCCTCCAGCCCAGGGAAGAGGAAGGGGTGAAGTATGAGAGAACTTTCATGGCTTCTGAATTCCTAGACTGGTTGGTTCAGGAAGGAGAGGCCACAACCAGGAAAGAGGGAGAGCAGCTGTGCCACCGGCTTATGGAACATGGCATCATACAGCATGGTGAGTGTATCAGTCAGCGCTTGCTGCAGTGACAAATGATCCCATAACCTGTGGTTTGTAATAACATATACTTACTTATTCGTGGGTCTGTAAGCCAGCTGTGCCTCTGGACAGTGTCACTTCCCTCTATGTTGAGAGTCAAGTTCACATCTGTTTCTTGCCTTGCCCGATCACTGTGAGATCGGTTTTTTAAAGGGATATGTTATTTTGCAGATGTTTCAGCAGACACCAAAAAGGAAAGGCAAAGTCTTTTTAATTTGATGTCTGTGGGTGTTTTGCCTACACGTGCATCTGTACCACATCAGTGCCTGGTGCCCACAGAGGCCAGAAGAGGGTGTCAGATCACCTAGGACTGGAGGTACAGATGGGGTTGTAATTGCAGTCTGGATGCAGATAGTTGAACCTGGGTCCTCTGGAAGAACAGACAATGCTCTTAATGGCTGAGCCATCGCTTCAGCCCAGGAAGGCAGATTCTTACAGAGCTTCCAAAAGCTCTGCTTAGATATGATATCACATCACAGTTCTATATACAACTGGCCCTCACAGTCATATAGTCACCTTGAAGATTGGAAGTTCAAGGTCATTCTTGACTACATAGCAAGTTCAAAGCCAGCTCGAGCTACACAAAATCCTCTCTCAAAAACAAGCATGAAAATAATTCACAAAAGGAATAAATGGTTTTGTTTGTCAGATCTACTGTCCATGACCTTAGGGAAGCAGTGTTTGGGACAGGAGAATGAACTGTGATACAAGCTGCACTGTGAAGAGATAATACAAAAGGGCTTTGCAATCATTTTCTTCCTGTGGGATAAATTTTAATGATGCAATATAACCTCTGGTGAAGAATTTTATTATCTTTACTGCATAACAAATAACTTTAAAGTTTAACAGATAGCATACCAAATGAGAGTTTCTGTGGATCAGGAATTGGGGTGAGGCTTGGCTGGCTGGTTCTTATTGGGTCTCACCTGAAGCTGTGGCCACACTGTTAGGCAGGGCTCCAGGACTGGAAGATTCATTTCCACAAAGGCTCACTGTTGCTGAACTCCACCAGGTTCAGCCAATTACTTTCTCTTATGAGGATGACCTCACTGGGTGAATGTAGACATAAACAAGAGTAGACACAGAGCTCTCATCTAATGGTCCTGCTCTTAGTAACAGCCCACTCAGTTCATTTCCGTGTAAGGTGTGGACTTGGGGCAAGGAGAAGAAAGTCGGAAGCATGTGGTCATTTCAGCCCAAATCCAAGAAACAGTGATATAGGGGCTGTGAGCTCCTTCCTTCCCCAAACCCTCTTCCCTTTCAAGCTGAGAACTTCTGTCCCAGGAGTATGAAACTTGAGAAATAATGAACAATGTTTTCCTAACTCTAGAATGCATCTCTGTAGTGGGTCATGAAATGCACGCCCACCATTACACATGTGTGGATATCAGAGGACAACTTGCCAGAACCTGTTCTCTCCTTCCACCCTGGTTCCCAGGAATCACACTCGGGTTATCTGGATTGGCAACAAGCACCTTTACCCACTGAGCCATCTCCCCGTGCCATAGTTTTTGAAAGCCATTTCCAGCATTAGAAATAATTCATACACATGTTCGTTTTTTACCCCTCATTGTGTCCTCTGTGGACCCTCAGTATTTACCTGGGAACATGATAGAAATGCAGAAACTCTTGCCCTGTCCACGTTCTGCTGAACCTCATCTATATTTTACCAAGATCCCCATGAGATTGGAATGTACCTAAGGGGCTGAGCATGATGGCATATGTCTGTAATCTCAGCACTGGGAGGTAGAGGTTGGGAGATAAGGAGTTCAAGGTCATCCTTGGCTACATATCAAGTTCAACATTAAAATGTGAGAGGTACTAAGCCCAACTACAGTAGAAAAGAACAGGGCACAATTATGTAGTAAACAAGTGTTATTTTGCAAATCTCTTATTTATAATACGAAAGATGTAAATGCTGATGTTCACATAGTATATGTACCTACAGAGAGGCATACATAGTGAAATATGGTCATGTGTTGCAACCTAAAAATTATTTGTTACTGTGTGCTGGGGTCAAGTATTTGGAAAGCCACCAGTGTGGAGGCGTTGGCTCCTTTGGCTGCCAATGTATTCCAGGGCATTCCGTCGTGTCCACTACTACCATGCTGAACTCACATTTGGCTGTTGAAGACCTTTTATGTCCATGGCTGAATTAGGTTCAATGAAGATGGGAGTTGCAGATAAAGCATGGTGTCAGGCTGTTCCCTTGGCCTTATGCAGCTGATAGTCCTGTGACTATAGACCATATACTGGAACTAGAAGAATCCATAAACAGTAGAAGATATTTTATGTGTGTGAGTTCTTTGCCTGCATATATGTATATGCACCACATGCATGCCTGGTACCCACAGAGGCCAGAAGAGGACACTGCATCCTCTGGAACTGGATGGTTTTGAGACTTGGGATGGGTTCTGGGAGAGTTGAACCTGAGGCATCTCTCCAGCCCTTGATCACTGTATTCTTAGGAATTTAGTTGAACCTCTTAAATCTAATAAGGTAGCTATTTTTTACATTTTTACTGCATGTGATATGCTGTCTGTCATCTTAACAAAGCTGTAAGAGTACAATACAGTATTGGTGACTAAAAGGCAGCTATTCTTATTATCTCCATTTTATGGTTCAAGAAATAAAGATATCAATATGTTAAACAGTTGCGTCAGAAGCCGCTCAGGTAGAAGTAGACAAGTGGGTATTACTACTAGTAAGTGTGAACTTGGAGTCGGTTAGTGTGGCTGCCATTTTCCCTAGTGAGCAAAGACAGTTTTTGGGTTGAATCTACCATCATTTTGCTCCAGGGAAAAAAAGCCTGATGATACCAAGTTCTACGAGAAAACCAGTTTTCTACACTACAGTCTACTGACTCATTCTGTACAGGAGAGAAGATGCCAGATGCCATGAGTTTTTTTCCAAGTGATTTCCAAGAGATGAGTAATTATGCCTCAATTACAGTGTGGTTTTATAATGCTGTAACCTCCATGCCATGCAGGTGAGCCATCACAGATAAAATCAAGGCATTACTAATAGAGAATCTGAGTGTGGGAGCAGGGCCCTCCAGCTGTAGGAGGACTACGGATTTCGTATGGAGAATCTGGAAAGCAAACTCATTTCCTGACAGATTTCACTGCTAGATCACTGACTCAGAAGTAGGAAAACAGTGTCCCCATAGTTACTGTCCTCAGAGACACTCTGAAATGTCTAGCCAATAATAATTTCACAGGTTAAACATTAAAGCAAGTTACCCCTTATGCTTTGACTGAATGAAAGTGGTTCCCTCGGTTGAAACTAGTCAGTGTGAGCATCAGGCCCTCTCAGGAAGAACTTAACTCTGCCTATGAATGGTAAGCGATGCTCTTATTAAGGCAAGGCTTGTTAGATGAGTAATTAGCTGGCATTCATATTTATGGACATGCCTGTGTCTGTGCAGGCATATATACATAATTACAAATGCCTATATGGTGAACATATGTTCATACATTTCTAGTTCATTTGTTCTTTTTTTTTAACTCAAGTCCTCACACATAGGAGGTAAATGCTCTACCACTAAGTTATAGACACAGTCGTGTGTGTGTGTGTGTGTGTGTGTGTGTGTGTGTGTGTGTGTGTGTGTGTTGCGGTGTGCACCTGCAGCTTGTGCACATACCTTTTGAAGAGTCTTAATCTATTTGCCACACTGGTCCAAACTCCCCTTATAGCCTAGGCTGGCCTCAATCTCACTTGTATCCTCCCACTTCAGCCTCCTGGGTGCTGGGATTGTAGGTATGCACTACCACGCCTGAGTTTTCAGCCCTACTTTGCATTTTGACACAGGGTCTTACCAGGTTACCTTGGCTGACCTTGAATTCTTAATAGAGCAGGTAGGCCTCGAATTTGCAATCCTCTTGACTCAACCTCCTGAGTAGCTGTGATTACAGGCCTGCACCACCAGGCCCAGCTCTTTCTTACTTTCTAATGCATTTATGTTTACTATATACCTGGGCTAAATATTTCGTAATATATTAGGTAGCTTATATGTATGTCTTTCACTCATATGATTGTATATATTCTGATTAAACCCATAGAGGCTTAGCACATGTCTGAAATACCCGTACTGGTGGAGGAAATGCCGAAGCAAGAAGGTTGTAAATTGGATGACAATTAGACCTACATAGTAGGTTTCTGATTAGCTTGGCCTACAGAGTGAGACTTGATCTCAAAAACACATGTGTACATGCATCATAATTCCTGTAGTAGTTCTATGACATTGATATAAGTACAGAAACTTAACAGTAAAAATTTATGAGGTTCAAAGCCTTTTAAGATATTTTGCCAAGGTTGCCCAGATAGGCTGTAGCAACTATAAGCACTGTGCCTAAGAAAGAAGCTCATACAAGCTATGGGTACAGCTCAGTTGGTAGAATGCTTGCCTAGTGTGACTGACAGCCTAAGACTGATGGTCAACACCACAAAAACTAGGCATGGTGGCACTCGTCTGTAATCCCAACATTTAGGAGATAGAAGCAGGAGGATCAAAAGTATCACGGCCATCCTTGATTACCTAGTGAGTTTGAGGCCAGCCTAAGCTAGATGAGACCTTTATCGAAGATGAAGAAGAGGGGCTGAAGAAATGGCTCTGTGGTTTAGAGTACTTGTTGCTTGGGCAGAGGACCTGGGTTCGGTTGCCAGTACCCACGTGGTGGTTCACAATCTGACATAACTCCAGTTCCAGAGGATTGAATGCCCTCTTCTGAAACAGGAGGAGGAGGGAACTTCTCTGGGCCCAGTATGTGGGCAGTTGGTGTGGCTCTGGCATAATAGAATGTGCCCCATTGTGGAGGACATACAGCCTGGATTTTGAGCCTAGCTCTATCTTCTGAGTAACCGTATTTCACTTTCCCATCTACAGATTTATTAATGAAGTTAGCTTCTAATTTTATCTTTTTGAGTTCTCCTGACCAGAGAGCTTTTGACCACTACAT